GTTCTATCCACCATCCCATGCTGTCTCTCACTATGCTTGCCCTCAGACACACACACACACACGCTGCCCATCTTTTGTCATATTCAGCATGGTAGGTCCTTCTAGAGCTGGGACTCTATTTGTATAACCTTTGAGAACTCAGGCCACATGCTTGCTGTGAAGAATGGAAGACAGTCAAGGACATCCATTAAATACTAGGCAGCTAAGTGGTGAATGGAATAACTGAACCTAGAGTTAGGGATCAGCTCAGTCACTTTTCAGTCATGTCCAACTCTCCATGACCCCATTTGGAGCTTTCTTGGAATAGTTTGCTATTTCCTACTCTAGTTCATTTTACAGATGAGGAAACTGAGGCAGAGTGAAGTGACTTGTCCAAAGTCACACAGCTAGTATGTGTCTGAGGCCAGATTTGAACTCAGGAAAATGAGTCTTCCTGACTCCAGGCCTGGTGCTCTATGCACTATGGTGTTCCCTAGCTGCCTTAGGAGCTCAAATTTAACATCAGACAAATAATTTACTACTAGCTATGTGGCTCTAAGTAAGTTACAACATGTTTGCCTCAGTTTTTTCATCTGTAAAATGGGAATAATAATAGCACCTATCTATTGGGGTACTTGTGAGGATCAAATGAGATGATATTTGTAAAGCATTTTGAAAATTTTGTAGCATTATATAAATGCTAGCTATCATTATTATTGTTATTATTATTATCCTTTTTTTTTTGTATTGAACCTATGATTCCATTGGTGTAGAGAACTCCCAATAAAGAGATACATTCTACAATGTCAGATTGGCACCTGCTCTGTAGCTTGAAGCCTCAGAGGAGTGCTTTTGACCCTGAGATGTGAAATGACCTGTCCAGGGTCACACCACCAGTGTGTGTCAGAGGTAGGATTTGAATTCAGGTCTTCCTCACTATGAGGAACTTTCTATTCACTAGACCATGCTGTGTCTCTTTAATTTCATTAGAAAACATAAATTCTGGCTAGAGGGTCTGCTTTGAATAATCTGATTTTTTTCAAAGTCAACACTGCAGGTTCCAAGGGAACCTAAGAACACATAGAGGATGCTGAGAGCTAGGGGCTGAGAAGACAAGACATTTCCTCCTGGGGGACCCTCTACAAGAGCTGAAAATATATACCTCCCTTCCTTCTTTGCAGAGTTTGGGGGTCAGGGGGAGATTTATGTACACATAATCCATTAGATTGTAAGTTCTGGAGGGGCAGGGTCTAATTTTTGTATCACCCAGTGCTTAGCACACTGCCTGACACATAGTAGGTGCTTAATAAATGCTGATTGGTTGATTTTGTATCCCTGGTGCTCAGTACAGTGCCTGGCACATAGTAGGTGCTTACTAAATGTTTATTGATTGATTGAATGTTACATACACTGGCAGGCGTGGTTGATGTATTGGTCGGTTTCAATGAACTGCTGGTTTGTTTTTTCTTTCTACAGAAAGCAAACTCCATCAGGTCCCTGCCAACCTGAAAGGCTTCAAGCACTGGACAAAGATGGACTATATGTCTGTTTCATTGCATCAGCCCAGCTTACTCTCAAGCCAACTCATCATTAGGTCGAGCACAGGATAAATAATTTTTCAGCCACAGCAACTCCTGAAGATCATTTAAGAAGTCACAGAAGGGTGGTGATCTATATCAGTGGAGCAGTTGGCTTCACCAGTGAATTCCCTAATCCTTGGAGTCCTGAAACACTACCAGTGAAGTGAATATGAGGCTGAGGCATTCCGTAAAGGCCATCCGAGGGAGAAAGCACCAAGAGTTCCCTTGGAAATTTTCTCATTCGTTGTTGTTTAGAATTTTCAGCGTGCCTGACTCTTCATGATCCTATTTGGGGTTTTCTTGGCAAAAATACTGGAGTGGTTTGCCATTTCCTTCTCTAACTCATTTTATAGATGAGGAAACTGAGGCCAATGGGGTTAAGTGACTTGCCTGGGGTCATCCAGCTAGTGTCTGAGGCTGGATTTGAACTCAGGTCTAAGGAAAATACAAGTCATTGCTTCGGTCTGTGGGGATGATGAACTTGCTGGGTACTCAACACCATGTGTTTTAGAATGATGTGATAGATGCTGGGTGGTTTCTTGGTCATCCATGGGACTTCCTCCAGCTTGTGACAGCAGAAAAATGATGGGGTCACACTTGAGATGACAGAAAGTAAAGCACCAGCTAGAAGACAATGGAATGCTGTACAGTTATACTGATCGAGGGTGTCCCCGAAGAAGAGAGAACGTGCATTTCCCTCCTGTTTTTGGATAGATGGGAAACTACAGGTGTATTGCCTATGCTATCGGACTCGTTGAAATGTTGGTTAGTTTGGCCGAGGGATGGTTTGCTGTGGAGGAATCTATTAAGAAATACAGGTGATATTTGGGATAGCTAGGTGGCGTAGTGGATACAGCACTAGATTCAGGAGGACCTGAGTTCAAATCTGACCTTAGACACATAACATTTACTAGCTGTGTGACCCTGGGCAAGTCACTTAACCCCCATTGCCCAACAACAACAACAACAAAAGAAATATAGGTGATATAAGAACAAAAAAAAATTAACTAAAACATAATGATACTTTTGGTTGAAATTTTTTCATGCTTTTGAATTTATCCAAAGTCTTTAGATAGGTTTTGTTTTGTGAAGCACTCATCTTCATTTTGGAGCTGTGTCTACATGGAGACATGTAGGAGACAGGTAGGTGGCTCAGTGGATAGAGCACTGGGCTTGGAGTCAGGAGGACTTGAGTAAGACTTGAGTTCAAATCCAGCCTCACTTACTAGCTGTGTGACCCTGGGCAAGTCACTTAACCTCTGTTTGCCTTAATACACTGAAGAAGGAAACGGCAAACCACTGCAGTATCATTACCTCACAGACAATATGATCCATAAGTTCACAAAGAGTTGGACGTGACTGAATAAGTGAACAACTATATCGATGTATATTTTTTAAATGCACATACATATCAAAGAATCACAGAAGCATTGAATTTGAGAGTTGGAAGGGACCTCAGTCAGTGGCCATCTAGGCAACCTGTATGCAAAGGAATCCTCATTATAACCTACCTGATAAAGAATGATCCAGTCTCAGCATGAAGATTTCCAGTGGGGGGATCTTAAATCTCAATTTCAATAACCTCTCAAGGAAATCCATTCCACTTTAGAACACACCTTCATTTCTTTCTAGATAAAAACACTGGCCATTTCTCTGATACTTTATGGTTTATAAAGCACTTTATATACATGATCTTTTCTAACCCTCACAAAGGTATTAAAATCCCCACTTTACAGATGAAAAAACTGAGACTCAGAAAGGCCAAGTGACCTAGCTATGGTCACACAACTTATAAGTGTCAGAGGAGGGATTTGAACCTAGGTCTTCCTAACTCTAAATCTACCATTCTCCACTATGTCCTGCTGTCTCTGAATCCTCTTTCCACACTGCCTCCCCTTCCAGTTCTAATATTCTAGGATTTGGTAAATATATTCCGCCTATAAATCTTCCTACTAGCACCAAAGTCAAAGTTTCAACTGAGGACTTCTGATACTTGTTCAGGAACAAACGGCCCTGAAATTAACCCAGAGATTCTCAGTATGCAGAAACGCATCAGGGGCACTCGCTTGGTAACTATTCAAAGAAGGTAAGTTCTGAACAAGAATCAAGTGGTGCCTATGATCTCCAAGTGCAGGAAAGCAATCAATCAATTAACAAGCATTCATTAAGTGTCTAATATGTGTTAGGTGCTACGGGCACAAAAATGAAAGCAAAGATTCCTGCCCTCAGCACATTTATAATCTAGCGTGGGGGGTAATATTTACTTATATAAGTATAAAAGAGATTAAAGATCATTTTAAAGGGAAGGTACTTGAAAGGCTTCATGTAGGAAGTAGCCCTTCAGCTGAGATTCTGAGAGGGGGAGGTGAAGAGGGAGTGCATTCCAGGCATGGGAAATGAGCAGTACCCAGGCATGGAGTGTTGTGTATGAAGAATAATGAGATGTAGGGGCAGCTAGGTGGTGCAGTGGATACAGCACTGGCCCTGAAGTCAGGAGGACCTGAGTTCAAATGCAGCCTCAGACCAAACACTTGACACTAGCTGTGTGACCCTGGGCAAGTCACTTGACCCCAATTGCCTAACTCAAAAAAAAAAGAAGAATGAGATGTATAATTGATATCATATTGGTTGCTTTCTCAATGGGTGGGAGAAAGATTGGAGGGAAGGAGAAAATTCAGAACTCAATTTTTTAAAAGTTAAAAATAAATAATAAGTTTATGTAAAAAAAAGAATAATGAGAACACCAGGTTTACTGGACCATCATGTGTTTATAAAGGCGAGTAATGTGCAATAAGGCTGGAAATGCAGGACAGGAGCAGCTTTAAATGAAAGGCTTTAAATGACAAAAAATTTGCATTTGACCCTACAGATAATAGGGGACCACTGGAGTTTGCTGATCAGGGGAATGACACAGCTCCAACCTGCTCCTCTGGAAAATCATTTTGGCATCTGGGTAGAGGATGAATTGGTATGGGGAGAGATCGGAGGCAGGGGGCCAGTCAGAAAGCTATTTCGATAGTCTGCGCAAGAGGTGACTAGATCCTCTCAGGTTTATGGGTCAAATAATTTGCAGAAGGATCTCCTTGAGAGAAAGTATAGTAGAGGCAGTGTTGTGTAGATGAGAAATCACTGGAGCTTGAATCAGAAGAATTAAGTTAGAAGCCTGGTTGTAATGCTGCATGACTGACCGTCTTCAAGGTCAGGAACCAGTCCACTTTGGTCTCTTTCTCTGATGCCTTGCACAATGCCTAGCACATCACATGTGCTAAATAAATATTTGTTAATTGATTGGTCAACCTATGTGACCTCATGGAAGTCCTTTCAGTTCCCCGGACCACATCCTCCTTGGCTTGGGCTTGAGCACCAGTGCAGGATTGCAGAGCCAGGGCTTGGAGACACTTCAGAGGTCATACTGTCCAAACCCTCTTCTTTTACAGAGAAGAAAACTAAGGCAAATAGAAGCATAATGACTTGCTTCTGGCTCTAAATCTCAAGCTCCCAAGAGGACCTAATGATGCTAGATGTAAATGGGTAAGAAAGATGCCCTCCCCTCTGATGAGATTACAATCCTTGCTCTATTCTCATTAATACATACAGAGGGATGAAACAGATATATGGAATGACAAGGCATTGGTGGAGTCAGAAATAGACCTCGGGTCTCCTAATTCCCCATTAGCTTTCTCCATTAGCTCTCCATCTTTGGGAGGAAATGAGATGCCAATGGGGATAAAGAGCTGGGTGAACAAGGAGCAGAGAAGTTGGACGGAGCTCTCGATTGCCCTTTGAAAAAGCTAGAAAGAATCTGGTAATCAGCTTTCTGCCATTTGGGGGCCTGCAGAGCATGCACACATATGCACACACACACGCACACACGCATGCACACACCACAGCCTTATTCTGACAGCTTCCCCTTCTCTGGGTCAATGATGTAAGAGCCCAAGGCACCAAATGCCAAAGGACAACGATCAAAATGGAAAAAAGAGGGCTCGACGAAATTACTGTCTAACAGGAATGGGCACTGTTGCCCTTTATTGGTTCTACATACAAGTTGGTTTACGAATACTTTCAGGAGCATGTAAGTGTGAAATTGGAAGGCAGCACTACAGGACTGCCACGAATCACCGCACTAGCAGTAATGAAAAAGGGAAAGAGAAGGAGGGGGACAGGGAGAGAGACAGAGACATAGAGAGACAGAGAAGGTGAGGGAGAGACAGAGAAGATAGAGACACAAAGAGAAAGGGAAGACAGACAGAAACAGACTGAAAAGATGAGGGGAGGGAGAGAGAGATAGGGAAAAGGATGGAGAGACAGAGATAGGGAGGGAGAGAGAGACACAGAGGAGACAGACGCAAAGAGAAGGGGGAGACACAGAGACAGAAACAGGGGAAGGTGGAGACAAACAGGCAGAAACAGACTGAAAAGATGAGGGGAAGGAGAAAGAGATAGAGAAGAAGAAAGAAGGAAGGAGAGAGACAGGGAAAGGGATGGGGAGAAAGAGGGAGGAAGAGAGAGACAGAGAGAGACAGAGACACAAAGAGAAGGGGGAGACAGAGACAGAAAGAGACTGAGAAGACAGAGGGGGAAGGAGAGAGACAGAGAAGAAGAAAAAAGGAGGGAGAGAGAGGGGAAAAGGATGGGGAGAGAGAGAGAGAGAGAAGATAGAGACACAGAGAGGAGGGAGACAGACAGACAGACATAGACAGAAAGAGACTGAGAAGACTGAGACAGAAAGTGAGAGAAAGGAGGAGAGGGAGGGAGAGAGGGAGGGATAAAGAGATAGGGAAAGGGATGGGGAGAGACAGAGAAAACAGAGACACAGAGAGAAGGGGGGAGACAGAGTTACAGAGACAGAAAGAGACAGGGGGAGAGAGAAGGAGAGGGGAGGGAGGGAGGGAGAGAGAGAGAGAGAAAGAGAGAAAGAGAGAGAGACAGAGACAGAGACAGAGAGAGTGAGTCAGGGGATTGTAGAGCAAAGGAGAGGGGTGGGGCAGAAAGCCAGAGGGAGAAGAGTAGGGGACAAAGGAGGGAAGAGGAAAATACATCAGGAAAGGAAGACATTTGCTGGGTGATCAAAATGATTTTAGTTAAATGATTGGTTTAGGGGAACAAGCTTAAATTAACAGATTATTTGCTGTAGGAATGAACTTCTACCACAGGAAATACTTTGACTTTTTTAGATGCCATGCATAGCAGAGCCAGCATGCTACCTGTGGTCAGATCTGGCACAGGTGGATGGTTGCCCTGTTTTGAAGAAGAATGGCTGCTGTCCCTGAATTGTTAGTCCGAATAGTTCAGTTAGATGGGTTTACTTAGGCTGTTTTCATGGAATGTACATGTAGTGAATGGAGGGGGAAGGTTTTTCTCATATGGGAAGTGTTCATTGCATAAGAAACAAAAACATCCACTTTTTAACATGGTAGCCCCATCTTGTTCCCCACAAGGAATCTCCACATATAATGGGAGACAGAGACAGAGAGAAATGGAGACAGACACAGAGATCCAGAGATAGAAACAGAGACACAAGCAAATAAATAAGAGCATAGGAAAGGAGAAAGAAGAGTGAGAACAGGGATGGGGAAAGAGAGGAAGAGAGAGAGAAGTGAATGGAGATGTGAGGAGAGAGGAAGAGGGAGTGGAGGAGAAAAGAAGAAAGGGTGGGAAGGAGATAGAAATCCCTAGTACTAGCTTCCTAGGAAAGAGAAACAGAGGAGGCAGGGATGACCATGTTCCTTCCAAACAACTAGCTAGTCCATGTCCTATAAGAAGCTATACATGACCTTATAGTATACGGTATTTTAGCATGACCATAATTGGACAAATAGCATAAGATGACAGCTAGCATCATGGTGTGATGCCACCTTGGGGGAGGGGAGGCAGAAAAATCAAGCCCAGGAGGAATTCCATAAGGTAAGACTTGGGAAGGACACTAGGGGTCACAAGGGCCAATGGTCCTGAACAAGAGACCTTCCTACAGCAAGTGGTCATCCAGTCTTGGCTTGAAGACCCTAGTGAGGGATAATCCACCAACTCCCAAGGCAGCCTGGCCCACTTTGGGACAACTCTAAGTGTTAGAAAGCTTCTGACAAAGAAATCTAAATCTGCCTCGGGAACTCCCCACCATTGTCCCTAGTTCTCCCCTCCGGGTCCAAGAAGAACAAAACCATTTTCTGTATTTTCTATGTACGTATTGCATCTGCCTCCTTCCCCATTAGAATGTAAGCCCATTAAAGACAGATACTCTCATTTTTGTCTCCCATACCCCCAGTGCCCGGCACATAGTAGACACTTGATAAATGCATACTGCTGTTTGCAACTTTATGGAATCACAGAGTTGAATGGGAACCCTGAGACTTCTGGCCCAGCCAATACCTCATAAAGTATCCCCTTGACCACACCCCCAATAAGTGGCCTTCTAGCCTCCCTTCGAACACTTCAGATGGGGAGGGGAGGGAGCAGAAGGAACCCACTTGACAATCGTGATTAAAAGAGGAAAAGAAACTCAAGGGTTCTGGGGATTGCACATTTTTTGCAATACAAAACTGGGTAATTTTCTAGATGCAGAGCTTTTAAGGGAAGGGATCAAATGCTACTTATTAAACGCCCACATGCATATGGTGGCCGTGTTCTGTGCTAGAGTGTTTATTTTTTCAAATCTAGCTTGCTTCCCTAGGGGTTATCCTAAAAATGCTTTTTTTTTTTTGCTAGTCTCATAATAGCAATCCCTGGTCAGTTATTCTTATAAGTGATTGTTATGCTAAACTTCAAAGCTCTTTTGGTGCTGGGTCTGCTCAAAGTCCATTGAAGAGCTAATGTATTTCACAACAGGGCATTCTGTCCAAAGAGATTGGTGTTATTGTTTCCAGAAGATGGAAGTTGTCCTTTTAAGCTAAAATATCATTTTCTTTGCTTTCTTTCTTCCTCTCTTTTCCTTCCTTTCCCTCCTTCTTTCTTTCTCTCTCCCTTCTTTCTCCCTCCTTCCCTCTTCTCTTTCTTTCCCTCCCTCATGTTTCCCCTTCCTTTCCTCCCTCCCTTTCCTTCCTTCCTTCATCTTCCATCATTCTTCCTTCCTTCCCTCTCTCCTTCTTTCCTCCCTCTCTCCTTCCTCTTCCCTCCCTTTCCTTCCTTCCTTCCTTCCTTCCTTCCTTCCTTCCTTCCTTCCTTCCTTCCTTCCTTCCTTCCTTCCTTCCTTCCTTCCTTCCTTCCTCTCTCTTCTTCTTTCACAGAAAATCATTAGATAACCAAGGCATGGGAGTGAAGGGAATGGGTGGATAAACATTTCCTTTCACTCTAATGAAAGATACTTGAAGTTTGATTCGTTCTGGCAACAGAATATGGACTACAAAAGTTTGGTCATTGATCAGTTTGCGGAAGCCAGCTGGGCAAGCTATAGGAAGCTGCTGAAGGGCAGGCAGTATATTCTTCCATCCCAGTGATTTCAGGAAGAGACATCAAGGTAAAGCCACATCACAAAATGATACATAGCTGCTCAGATTAGATGGCATCACAATTTGAGATGTCCCCACTCCCAAATATTTTTAGGACCAACTTTAACTATAGATTTATAGTCTACAAAATTGGGGCACAGATGGAGTGGAGAGAAAGATAGAATATTTGGGCAGGAAAGGAGGAGGGAGAGGAGAAAGAAGAGCTAACCAAAAATATACAACCTTTCCTTCAAGGTCTTTCACATTTATTACCAAATGAGGTGGAATTGATCAAGGCCATTTTCCTGTATTACTGCTTTTATTCTTAATGGTGTTCTGTTCCCTCATCTAAGTGGTAAGAGGCAAGGCAGTAAAGGGGAAAGAGCACTACATTGGAGTCAGGAGAAAATGAAAAATATTGGCTAAAACATAAGCAACTGGATGGAAACAAAACAAGTGGAATGGCTAGACTCAAAGAGGAATTATTGATTGTTCTGAAGTGGAGTGTCTCAAGGATGTGTGCTGGACTCCTCAAAGAGTCATTAATGGTTCAATGACAACATGGCAGGAGGTCTCCAGTGGAGTGCTCCAAGGATCCGTGGATGGCCCTGTGTGGCTTAACATTTTAACTAATGACATAGATAAAGGCATAGATGACAATGTTATCAAATTTGCAGATGACACAAAATTAATACACTGGATGAACAGTCAGGTTCCAAAAAGATTTTGACAGGCCAGAATGTTGGGCTGAATCCAATATGGCAAATAATAGACAAGTACTTATTAAGCACCTACTAAGTAACAGAAACTGTGCTAAGTAGGCACGTCATAAATGCTTATCCATTGCAATAAGGTGAAAACTTAAATTTAAAAATGAAATTTAATAGGACAAAATGTAAAGTTTTATACAGGTTCAAGAAATCAACTTAGAATCATGATTAGAACTAAAATGGACCTTAGAGGCCACAAGTCCAACTCTTCATTTTACATATGAGGAAACTGAGGCCCAGAGAGGCTGTGACTAGCCTAGCATCACATAGCTGCCTCTGTCAGCCTGTAAGTATCAGTCTGGGCTTGAACATAGATCTTCCCCACTCTGAAGCCATCTATATTTATGATACCATTAGTCGATCAATGAACAAACATGGTTACCAAAAAAGGGGCTAAAATCTTAAAAATCGTCTCGGTTGTTAAGAGGGTTACTTACTAATGAGGAGAACAGAAGGCAGGTAACCTTGGGGCAGGAATTCCTAAGGGTTTTTTGAACGTGCTGGACATCTTCTCAAAATAATGTTTTTAAATCCATCAAACAAAATATATAGGATTCCAATTGAAATAAAGATGTCATTTTTTCTCACATCCAAGTTCATGGGCCCCCTATCATCTCTCCACACACAGACCTCTTGGTAGTTAGTCCATGGATTCCAGGTTAAGAATTTAACCTGTTTAAGAAGGCTCAGGTGGTTGGAAGTAGGGGGAGGCTTGGATGGCCCCTTGTCTAAGGTGACATCTGAGCTGAAGCCAGAATATTGAGTTGGGAGACAAGGAAGGAGATTCTTCTAGGGGTGTAGCACAAACAGTGCATGGACGTGGAAGATGGGGTATTATATGTGAGGAATGATAGCTAGACAGTGTTGTTGGGTCCTAAAGTACACGGAAGGGAATAGTGTGAAATGACTGTCAAAGTAGAAAGGAGCCAGGTTGTGAAGGGCTTTAAATCCCCAACAGAGTTTATTTTTGATCCTGAAAGTAATAGAGGGCCACAATTGATCAAGGATACAAGATGGTTTTGTAGACTTTTAGCACAGTACTTGGTACGCAGCAGATGTCAGGTAAGTCCTTGTTCCCCTCCCCTCTTGCATGGACCTAATGAGTTACAGGTTGTCTCCTCTATTAGAATACAAGGTCCTAGAGGACAAAGTCTTTGGATTTTTGTGGGGGTTTTTTTGTGGGGGAGAATGTTTGTTTGTTTGTCTTTCATGGTATCCTCAGCTCTTCACTTCTGGCCCATCCTCTGGTCTGCTCCACCTCCACATCAAGGCCATTTTGACAACTGGTCAGCCCAAGAATCACCATACCATGAAAAGTCCCAGCCCTACCTCCCCTCTCTCTTACTGTCCAGCTCCCCATATGTATCATCTTCCCTCATTAGAATGTGACTTTAGAATTGGACATTAGAATCCCTCCACATTAGAATATGACTTCCTAGAGAGCTGGGACCCTGTTTTTGCTTTTCTTTGCATCCCCAACACTTAGCACAATACCTTGCCCATAGTAAGCACTTAATAAATGCTTTATCAATTATTATACAGTGCCTGGTACATAATAAGCACTTAATAAATGCTTGTCAACTGATTCACTTATTAACAAAGAACTTGAATTTCATTAGATGCCCATCAGTTGACGCATGGATGCAATAGAATATTATTGTCCCATAATAAGTGATGGATATGAAGAATATAAAAAAACCTCAAGATTTGCATGCACCGACACAAAAGGAATCTACAATAACTAGGTAAGCCATATACCCCACTGCAACAGTGAAATTCCTCCACAGCCCCTTCAGGCTAAGAGCAAATACAACAAAGTAAACACAAAGAACAATAAATCAAAACTGAATTCAATGTGATTATAATGACCCAACATAGCCCTAGAGCTGAGGAAATATACCTCTCTGATTTTTTCCATCTTATGCTTGCCTTTGATAATTATTCCTCAATCTCCTCCCTCACCATCGATTTTCACTTCTTGCTGTTGTCAGCTTATGATTTAGAGCCGCTTTCTTCTAATTTTCTTCTTCTGATCTGCTATAAAATAGGAAACCAGAGAACGAGGCTCATTCCAATTAATGGTGAGTGGCCCGTGGATCAGACCTAAGGGGATCTTCAGAGTAACGTAAATGACTTTGGACTGCTTGCCATTCGTTGGCTAAAATCAGAAGCAATGGAAGGAAGCTGCAAATAAGCCACATTAGGCTTGAAGTTGAGAATAACTTACTAATAAGAAGCATCCCAAAGTGCTTATAGAGGTGGACTGCTCTCACTCCCTGGAGGTCTTCAAGCAGAGGCTAGTCAACCACTTCTCAGGTACATTATAGCAGGATTCCTTTCACGTGTGGATTGGACTGGACTGGAATTCTATGATTCTGGGGGTATGTGAGCTTTGTTGCCTTGAACAGTGGAGGGATGGCTTTTTAGGATAAGAGAAATTGGGTCTGAATCCTGGCTGTGTCATTTATTATCTGCATGGCTTTTATAAAGTCTCAACCACTCCTAACCCATTCTCTCAATATAAAATGAGGCGACTGGATTAGATGATGTCTGAAGTCACTTTGATTTCTTAGACCCATGATCCTAAGATCCTTTCACTAGAGCATTGGAGGACTATAGGTGTTGAAAGTGTTGCATACACTGACAGACAATGCTGGCTGCTTTTGTTTCTGTCAGGCAGGCAGTCAACAAGCATTTGTCAGGCACCGATTATGTGCCAGATACTGGGCTAAAGTGACAGAGATTCAAAGAGCTTACAATCTAACGTGGGGACAACAAGAAATATGCAGTTATCAAATATTTTTTATAAGCTCACAAACCTCAAGTTTAAAAACCCTGTTATACAGGGCTTTTATACATATATATACATATATATAATATGTATGCAATATTATATATAATATTGTATATATTATATTATATATACATATACATATTTACATATATCAGACCCCCTGTGATATTTAATGAAAAATTTTCTCCCCAATGGATGTTGTCCCTCCTTAGCTTAGCTTCAATGATTTTGCTAGTGCAAAAGCTTGTCAGTTTCATGTAATCAGAATTACTGCATCTTTTGTTATCTCCTCTGTCCCTTATTTGATCAAGAATTCTCCTCCCAGAGATAGTTTTTCCCTATATGTCAAACTTTTCAACCAACTTCTTCACTTTGGTTGAAATGTAGCTCTTCCCTCTGAGAACACACTTTAAAACCCTCCCCACTAGGTACCACTCTTCTACCCACTCTCTGACTCACAGGGCCAGAAAGTGAGCCAATTCCTGATTGCCATACACACAAAATAATAATAATAATTCCTGGTTGCTTTTAAGGCAACTGAAATACTACACTACTCTCTGCAGGTTCTCTCCTTTCCTAGTGCCCCCAGCTGCTAGGATTTTCCCCTTAGAGGTACTCCAAACGTATCTTGTAAATACTGATTTATTCAAATGTGGTCTCCCCATTAGAAGATAAGGTTGTTGAGGACCATTTTACCATTGTGCTCCCAGCACTTAGCAGTGTCTGGAACATAGTAAGTGCCTGCTGAATGCTTGCTGACCGGTGGATTAGAACATCAGACTACATACTAATGAGTCAGAACTAGAAACCAAGTCTCCTAATTAGTTGGAAAAGTCACTTCCTCTCTCTGGGCCTGTTTCCTCCATTGTAACATGAGTTTTATTAGATGATTTCTAAGACCTCTTCTAGCACTATCCTGATTCTATGAGTACAAGGTGGGAATACAGTGTTATAATAAGGACTGCTGACCTTTTCACTTTCAACATCCTCTCTTGCCAAGGAACTGTAACTGTCTTCTACGTCAGCAGATTCTTAATGAAGGTGGGTGGGGAGGGAAGAAGGGAAAAAATTTGGAACCCAAAGTTTTAAAAACAAATGTTAAAAATTGTTTTGACATGCAACTGGGAAATATGATATGCAGGCAAAGGGGTATAGCAATCTATCCTGCCCTACAGGAAAATAGAAGGGGAAGGGGATAAGAGAAGGGGGGGGAGGAGATAGAAGGGAAGGCAGATTAGGGGAAGGAGTATTCAGAATGCATGCCATCTTGGGGTAGGGGTAGGGACAAGATGAGAAGAAAATTTGGAACTCAAAATCTTGTGGAAGTGAATGTTGGAAACGAAAAATAAATAGCTCCATCTTCAAATACACATCCCTGATGATAGCCTCACTGTCCACGCTTTTTGTTTTGGTTGATTTCTTCTGCTCATTCAAGAAATCTAACCTGGTACTTCCCAGTGAGAAGTGTTTATGGGGTCCCCAAGTGACCCCTCAGTTCATCTCATCCTGCTACTCTTCTCACCCCACCTCCCACTTCTTTAAAACACATCTAGTCTTCTAACTTATTTCCCTGCCTCAAGTCTATCTCTATTCCAATCAATCCCCCACTCAGCTGCCAAGGTGACTTTTCTAAAGGGCTTGACCATGACACCTCACCAACTCCCCTGCTCGTGAGATCCTGTGGCTCCCTCTTACCTGTGGGATCAAAGATCAAGTTTCTGACTGGCATTCAAAGCTCTTCACAATCTGGCCCCTTCCTACATTTTCAGTCTCCTTACATTTTATACACACTCAACAATAACAGCTGCACTGGTCTACTTTTTCTGAAAACAGTGCTCCATCTATTCAAATCCTTCTGTCTTCACAATGATATCTCCCAGGCATGGAATGCTCTCCCTCCTTACTTTCAGTGACTTCTTTAAGACAGCTAAAGCCCCGCTTTCTGCAGGATGCCATTCCTGGTACTTCCAACTGCTAGTTCGTCCCTTTCATACGTGTGCATGCATACATACACACATACACAATGTATGTATATGTATATATTGTACATGTTTTACAATATTATGTTAGTTATATGTAATAAACATGTATACACACACACACACAAATATATATAACGTAACTAGTTTTTCACAAGTTGTCTCCCCCAAAAGAAGGTGAGCTCCTTTTCGCCTATCTGTAAGTGCTTAAATAAATGTTTGTTCCCAAAACTTCAACTCCTACCTCTACTGAAGGAACATACGCACAACTGTATAATCAGTCCTGATAATTCTGTCTCCAGACTTCCATCTCCAATGCCAACCGGATGAAGTTCTCCTGGCACCTCAAACTCGAGTGGCTCAAAATTGTTTTCCCTCTAAACTTGTCCCTCCTTCTGAGCTGACTTTGCCTGTGGCTCTACCATTGAATGTGTGTGGGAACTCTTAAACTAAGGGATATGAGATCTCTAAAGATGTGCTGGTCAGCAGGGGTCTGGGGACTGGGGTCAAAATAAAAAGTCAGATTGAAGGCAAAGCAATTAGCATGCTAGGGCAGATAACTCTCACTGATAACAGCTCCAACTTCCTAGCCTACAGATTTGGATTTTATAACTTTTCAGGAACAGTCAAGAGTACACAGACAATCAGCAGCATCTCAGGATAAGTTAAGCACATCACAGGAGAGGGCAGGGTAGAGAAAAAGGGAATCATTCATGGGAAAAGGGGAGGTATTTGGAATGTAACCGGCAGGATTGATTATAATTATTTATGTTTATTACAATAAGAAAACATTCTCAAACAAGGGTAGGAAACAAGGAGTGGTGATCATATACTTCTATAATTATTAAATACATTTAGACAAAATTGCAGGTGTCTCCTACTGAAGGACAAAAAACAGTCGTTACAACAGTGGTTGAGAACATCTGCTTTACTGTGTCCATGAATAACTTGTTTTATTTCTCCTTCAATGGTAGTCAGTGTGTTTGCACTTTAAGGCCACCAGGTAGTTAAGCGACTAGCTCATCGAGACGTCAAGAAATGATTGTGGTTCCTATTCCCTGCCCCACCCCCACAATCCCCCAAGTTCACAACCTTGGGAGTTCTCTCTGATCTCCCCTCTAACCTTTCACATCTAGCACTTAGAACAGTGCCTAGCACACAGCAGGTGCTTAATAAACGTTTACTGACCAATCAGTAGCCAAGGTTTGTTGATCCCATCTTCACTGTATCTCTTTCTATTGCTGTTGCCATTACAGGCTGTTGATATTTGGTAGTATACAACTCTCTGTGATCCCACATAACACACCAATACTGTCCATGGGGCTTTCTTGGCAAAGATACTGGAGTGGTTTGCCATTTCCTTCTCCACTGGATTAGAGCAGAGGTTAAGTGGCTTACCCAGGGTCACACAGTGTCTGAGGCCGACTTTGAACTCAGATCTTCCTGACTCCAGGTCCAGCTCTCTAACTCACTGAGTACTTTAGCTGCCTCTGCCATTACAGGCCCAGCTACATTACCCTCCACCTAGACTGCTGTAACAGCTTTCTCACAGATCTTTTAACACTTTCACCCCCTTCACCCTCCTATCTATCCTTCATACCCACTGGGAGAATAATCTTTTTTGGGTATAGGTTTGGTCGTGTGCTATCTCCACTAAAAAATCAGCAGCTTTCCCTGTTTCTTCTAAGGTAAGTTTAAACCCCCTTGCTTGGCATTCATAGTACACAATCTGGTACCACCCTATTTTTCCATCCTTCTGAGTGTTTCTTTCCACACGCTGTGGACACCAGAGTGGCAGTGGATAGACCACTGGGCATGGAGTCAGGGAAGATCTGAGTTCAAATTGTGCCTCAGACAGTTTAAGAACTACATGATACCAAACAAGTCATTTAACTTCTGAGGGCTTCCCTTTGATAATCTGTAAAAGGAGGATATTGATAATAGTACGTATCTCTTAAGGTTATAAGGATAACATAAAATACTTTGCAAACTTGAAAGCACTGTGTAAATGCTATCATTCTGCTCTATTCACACTGAAACACTCAGTATCTTATGTCCAACTGCAGCATCCTACTCCCCACCACACCATCTTTTATTAAACCCCTGCCATTCCTTTGAAAAAAGGATTCTTCACCTGGAATCCACAAGCTTGCTTTAACCCTGATAACTATAGCTCAACATAAACGGTTTCCTTTGCAAGCCTCGGAACTTTATATTTATGCATTTAAAGACTGTGCTGCACCTTTTCCACATCCTTTTCTTGTCCTTTTCTTTTTGGCAGCATGGCTAAAATGGAAATGTTCTGCATGACTTCACACGTACAATTGATATCATATTGCTTCTCAATAGGTGGGGGAGGGAGAGAATTTGGAACTCAACATATCTAAAAAAAGTAATGTTTTAAATAAGTTGAAAAAAATGAATAAAACAAAATTATGCTGTGGAGCTCCTAAGTTGTTATTAACCAGCGGTCAAGAATCCCTTTCAAAGTGTAACTCAAATTTCACTTCCTCTCAGATGCTTTTTCTTGCTCCTTTAATGACTTAGCCCTCTAAATATGAAAAAAACTCACTTTATTCCATAACTAATCGCTTAGCTGTAACATACAATATACTTACGTGCCATCTACTTCGCAGAACAGAATTTGAGAACTGGAAGGGACCTTAGTGACCTTCTAGTTGTATCAAAATCCCCCAAGCCCCACGAGGACATCCGTGACAAGGGGCTCTGGCCTGTTTTGTTTTGGTTTTTTTAGGCAATTGGGGTTAAGTGACTTGCCCAGGGTCACACAGCTAGCAAGTGTCAAGTGTTTGATCTGAGGCCACACTGGAACTCAGGTCCTCCTGACTTCAGGGCTGATGCTCTATCCGCTGCACCCACCTAGCTGACCCCCAGCCTGTGCTCCACTGAGGGGAATCTACCTTCTGAGGGTGGTC